CTCTCCTCTGCAGGGAGGTCCCTGCAAGGACGAGGCTGTAACGTAGGTGCCCTCTCTCCCCAGCTCTGCACCGGCTGCCGGGTGCCCACACCTGCCCCTTCACCGTCAGTGCTGTGCCTTGCCCTGACCATGGCTTCCCCTGCCCCGGCTCCCCGGGGCGCCTGCGCGAGGGCCGGGAGCGGTACGAGCTGGACGCGCTGTCCTGGCAGGGGCACCGACTGGGCTTGGAGGAGCTGCAGAGGCCAGGTGAGACCTGGGGAGGTGGTGGGGGTCTCATAGCCCCTGGGCTAGGGAACACCCCAGAGATCTGACAGAGGCACCTGGGGTACTTGGGGTGCCAGGATGGGAGGGGAGTGCTGGTGGAGAGACCCTCAGTGTCCTGGGGTGATGTGGGAAGAGCTGAGGACAATGGGGGAGCTGGCACAAGGCACTCCAGGGTGGGAGGAGATGGAGGGGACCCTGGGACCTGTGACAAGAGCCATGAGAGTGGCATAAGGCTGTAGGAGCCTGGGGAGCCAGGACCATGCCATAGCAGGAGTTTAACACTTTCTCTTGTCTTGCACAGAGCTCGGGTGCTGGGCCAGGGTCCAGTCCTTCTGTGTCTCCCTTCTAAAGGTGCCCCTGATGTTTGGGTTCCTGTACCTCTTCGTGTGCTCTCTGGACGTGCTCAGCTCTGCCTTCCAGCTGGCTGGAGGTAGCAGGGTGGCAGGGATGCCTGGGAACCTGGTGGCACTGGCAGTGCCAGCAGCCTGTGCTCACATTCTCTTATAGGCAAGGTGGCGGGGGACATTTTCAAGGACAACGCCATCCTCTCCAATCCAGTGGCAGGGTTGGTGGTGGGCATCCTTGTGACCGTGCTGGTGCAGAGCTCCTCCACCTCCACCTCCATCATCGTCAGCATGGTCTCCTCAGGGTGTGAGTGTGCCCATGAGGCTCCTGGGGACCTGAGGCTGAGGGAGAGGATGGCTGGATGGGGTCACCCTGAGCCGGGCCATACAAGGCTAGCAGGTCTCTCTGTCCCCAGTGCTGGAGGTGCGCTCTGCCATCCCCATCATCATGGGCTCCAACATCGGCACCTCGGTCACCAACACCATCGTGGCCCTCATGCAGGCTGGTGACCGCAGTGAGTTCAAACGGTGAGAGCTGGATGGGTCAGAGGACACTTTTGAGGCTGGGGGCTGCTCCTCAGGACCACCTCATGCCAACGGGCTCCTTCATTCTGCGCAGGGCCTTTGCCGGTGCCACGGTGCACGACTGCTTCAACTGGCTGTCAGTGCTGGTACTGCTGCCACTGGAGGTGGTGAGTGGGTACCTGCACCACATCACCCGCCTGGTTGTGGCCACCTTCAACATCCGCAGTGGGAAGGATGCCCCTGACCTGCTGAAGATCATCACAGAGCCCTTCACCAAGCTCATCATCCAGGTCTCCTCAGCTGTTATGTTTGCCAGCGTAGTATGCCACTGGCTGGTGGTGATGTCCCCAGCACTGGTGTCCCTTTGATGGCAGCTGTATCCAAGTGTCCCCAGGCTGACAGTGGTGTCCCCATGCCAGTGAAGATGTCCCCAGCCCGTGGGTGCTGTTAGCCCTCTCCAACATGCGTGTTGTTGCAGCTGGACAAGTCTGTGATCACGGGCATCGCGACAGGGGACGAGAGCCTGCGCAACCGGAGCCTCATCCGCGTCTGGTGTGGCCCTGCATCTCCACAGGTGAGGGGCCTGTGGCCCTGCTGGGGCCACCAAACAATCCCACAGAGGATGGGTGGTGGGCAACGGCAGGCTGCTCCTGTGGTACCCACCTTTGTGGTGCAGCTGTAGCCCACCTTCTCCCTGCAGATCGCCACTGCAGGGCCTGGGAGCCCCCCAAACTGCACATCCCCCAGCCATTGCAGCACTAAGGGCATCGAGGTCCTTCACAACGTCACCAGGCAGAAGTGTGAGTGGGTGTGGAGGGCTTGGGCAGGGCTGTGGCACAGAGCATGGGGCTGGGAAGGTGCAAGAAGGGCTGGGGGTTGTACACATGATGGAGAAGTGCTGGAGTCATGATGTGGGGCAGGGCTGGGAGATGCTGCGCTGGGGTCGAGGTGTGGGGCTGTCTGTGGGGGCAGGTTTGTGAGCGGGGCCAGGCCAGCCCCAGCCCCTTGCCCAGCCGTGCTGTGGGGCAGGTGAGCACCTCTTCACCGACACACCACTGCCTGACCTGGCCGTGGGGCTGGTGCTGCTGGCCGGGTCCCTTGTCGTGCTCTGCACCTGCCTCATCCTCCTGGTCAAACTCCTCAACTCCCTGCTCAAGGGGCAGGTGGCCAAAGCCATCCAGAAGGTCATCAACACTGGTGAGTAGGATGGGGACCACATGCCACATGGCCACCCATACCCATCTCCATCTGCCATCCTCAGACCTGTCCCCGGCTGCCCCTGACCCCCAGCCCTGATGTGTCCATGCCCATGTCCCTGTTTGTGTCCATGCCCATGGCCATGCTGTGGCAGACCTCCCACACCCGCTCAGCTGGCTCACCGGGTACTTCGCCATGGTGGTGGGTGCTGGGATGACCTTTGTGGTGCAGAGCAGCTCTGTCTTCACCTCGGCCATCACACCCCTGATCGGTGAGTCCCAGCCATTCCTCATGCCCTGCCGTGTGCCATCCCCTGGCCTGTGGGTGCTAAAGCACTCAGAGGGACAAAAGGAGCTGTGCCTCCTTGGGAGAGCATGGGGATGGCACTGCCAGGAGGTATGGGATGGACAGGGTGCCTCTCCCACAGGCCTGGGAGTGATCAGCATTGAGCGTGCCTACCCACTGACCCTGGGCTCAAACATTGGCACCACCACCACTGCCATCCTGGCTGCCCTAGCTAGCCCAGGGGACAAACTCGCCAGCTCCTTCCAGGTACAGTCAGCCGGGGGCCATGGCTGGGCTGGATGGGGTCACCGGGCAGGGCAGGAGCTGGGGGAAGCCCACGTGCCTGGCCTGATGGGGATGCCATCCTTGCAGATTGCTCTGTGCCACTTCTTCTTCAACATCTCGGGCATCCTCCTGTGGTACCCACTGCCCTTCACCCGCCTGCCCATCCGCATGGCCAAGGCGCTGGGCGAGCGCACGGCCAAGTACCGCTGGTTTGCCGTGCTGTACCTCATCGTCTGCTTCCTCCTGCTGCCCTCCCTCATCTTCGGCATCTCCATGGCGGGCTGGCGGGCGCTGGTGGGGGTGGGCGCGCCCTTCCTCGGCCTCCTCTTCTTCGTCGGGCTGGTGAACGCGCTGCAGGCACACAGCCCCGGGCGCCTGCCCAAGTGGCTGCAGACCTGGGATTTCCTCCCCGCCTGGATGCACTCGCTGCAGCCCCTGGACCGCGTCATCACCCAGGCCACCCTGTGCTGCACCGACCGCTGCCGCAGCCCCGAGGGCTGGGATGAGCACGAGGGCGCTCCCCGCGACAAGGCCAGGCTGGGGCTGGACAACCCCGCCCTCTCCTACCCCGAGGAGATGCCCAGCCCCACCATGCGGGTGGGCTCTCCTCGCCCTCTCCCGCACGGTGCCACACGGCTCTAGCTGGCAATGCACACACAGGGCTGCTGCTCCTGTGGCCGCTGGTGCCCACCGTCCCTGCTCGGCTCTAATAAAGGGGGAGCGCCCACGCCCCTGTGTGTGTCTCTTTGGGTCCTCCCTCTGCAAACCCTGCTGTCACAGGTACCCCACACCCACCAGGCTCCCCGTTTCCCACCCACCACCATTGCTCAGCCCAGCTGGTGCTGGGGGCACACCAAACACTCGTGCTGCAGGACACATGGTGATGATGCCACAGCTGAACCCCGAGGTCTGTAGCCACCCGTACTGAGCTGTCACAGGCAGCATCTTCTGGCTCCTGCCTCATCCCCAAAGGGCTGAGCTGGTGGGGTCCATGGTGCCCCACTGTGTGCCACAGCAGCATGTCAGTGAGCGAGGCACAGCACGGGGCAGCCAGGCAAGGTGCTGGGCTGCTGTGGTGCTGCTGGGCTGGGATCAGCAGGATGATGATTCGGCATGCTTGGGCAGTGCCCCTGCACCACCGGGCACCCTGGCACCCGTGGCTGGAGCCCTCCTGCCATGGCGACCCTGAAAGGAGCCCTTTAAGTGGCAATAACAGCTTCTCCCACTGCCCACAGATGTTTGGGTTGCTGCCAATGATATCGGCCCACCCTTCCCTCCTTCCCTCCTTCCCGCCCGCCCTCCTCCGGACTGGGACCAGCAGAGCCAGCAGCGCTGCCGTGGGAGCTTCTCTGTTTTCCCAGCACCGCCGCTGTCCCGCATGCCCAGCCGGGCAACCACTGGGCCAGGACGACCTCGCCACCAGACCGGGTCAGTGAAGGAGTCAGGCAGCCGGGAGAACCCTCCGGGGACTCAGCGATGCTGGGGCTGCGCCGCAGCCGCTTCGGGACCGGTGAGCAGGGTGGGGGAAAGCCCCATGGGGCTTTATCTTCTTGAGGGGCCGGGCCAGCATGGAGCCAGCCAGCGCCCTTCCCAACATCTCCAGTAACAGCAGCGGCGCTGGCAGTGCCCCACACTCACCAGCAGCCACGGGACTCATCTTGCTGGCCGCCCTGTCCGTCCTGCTGGCCACGCTGGTGGGCAACGCTCTGGTGGTGGTGGCCATCTCCACTAGCCGGGCTCTGCAAGCCCCACAGAACCTCTTCCTTGTGTCCCTGGCCTCGGCAGACATCCTGGTGGCCATCCTCGTCCTGCCTTTCTCGCTGGCCAACGAGGTGATGGGCTACTGGTACTTTGGTGGGCTGTGGTGCAGCCTGTACCTGGCGCTGGACGTGCTGCTCTGCACCGCGTCCATCGGGCACCTCTGTGCCATCAGCCTCGACCGCTACTGGGCCGTCACACGGGCGGCACGGCTCAACCTGCGCCGCAGCCCTCGGCGGGTGAAGGCCATGATCGGGGCAGTGTGGGCGGCAGCGGCCCTGGTGGCACTGCCACCGCTCCTGCGGCCGCGGCCGGCCGGGCGGGAGTGCCAGCTGAGCCAGGAGACCTGGT